TTCATCGCCTTTTGGGGGCCTTTCACGCATGTCCCTAAATCCTTCATTCCGCTCCATGGGAAACCCTCTTCTTCTATCTATATTAGGATTGTTGAAGGGTGGCATGTCATATTTAAAAGATTCTCTGTCTCTCATGTCCATAAATCTGTTATTTGGTTCCTGTGGTGGCATACCCCTCCCTTCCATGTCTGAGTTTCTGCCTTGTCCCGGGAAACCAGAAGCATTCATCAGTTTGTCTCTGATAGAAATGTCATATTGCCTTTGTACACTGAAGTCTGGATCTTCTCCAGGTCCACCAAAATCTCTGTTTTGCTCTCTACCTCGCATATCACGTGGGTCGATGTCATGCCCCCTCATGTGTGGCCCATCCATCCTTCTCATATCCATGTGTGGCATATCTAGAGGTCTTGGGCCCATTTGATCCATGTTCATCGCATCTCTACTTCTATAATCAGGCATGGGACGATCTCTGCCACCAAACATTTCTCCACGTTGATCACCGCTGCAATATATACATCAACACATTAGGATGATTTTTTTTTTATGGAACACAACCAAAAAATAAAGCTTATAACAAAACAATATGGAGACGGAAGATATGAACGTTTATTTTTATAGTTGCTGATCCAATCAGCATGAAAAGGCTTAAAGAAGGGGAGGACAATACGGTAATAATGAGCCTTATAAATGTTTCTATTTTCAGTGTTTTTTATTTAAAAAAAGAAAAGAAAAAGAAAGTAACCATCAAATGCATCAAGTGTGAAAACAGTTTAAACATTAGGATTCCCAGAAAATGTACTAAATCATAACATCATATAACATGTGAATATTACTTCAACTGTGGTAACCTGTTTTTAACCCACATTGCCCATCCCTAGAAAACATTATTAGAGGCAAATGCAAAAATCTGTTACTAGACAGTTATGTATTAATAGCAATTTGTTTTAAATCAATGCCTATATCTAAATGATGCATATTTACCGAAAGGGTGGTCCTCCCCTTGGTCCTGGTCCGTTCCACATGTTTGTAAGTCAGTGTCTTATCTGGAAGCAAAGTTGGAGGTAAATGAATACAAACACTACTTTTGACTTGTTCGTGGCAGGTATATCAATCATAATACAACCAATAAATGGACTTTCAAAGTACAACCCAAAATTAGACGAGCGTCAAAATATTTGAGCATATGGCAGCATTAAGTTCTAATATAAAAAAGGTATATAGCCCACTATGACAAATCACACATTTGCTTTAAATATCAAATGCAAAGCTTCCAAATATGCTACATTTTTATAGAAATGTTGTTTTTAAGACTGCCTGTATTTTTTATTTTATTTAAATCGAGATAATACACCCAAAAAAAAGCTTTTTATTGATCCAAAACTCGACCCAAAGCCGTCTGAATTTCTGACATGTAATTCCCAGCAGCCTCCGCGCGCGTGACGTAATAGTGGCCAAACAGTCTCTGGACCAAATATCCCGACTCGGCAGTCTCGGTCACATGTTTTTCGAAAAGAAAACTGAATTAACATGGGTTATTGTTGAGCTTTTTGTTGTACGAACGGTGCGGGATCTGGGAGAGTTTTACATGCATTTCCCAAAGACCAAATCATCCGCAAAAAATTGATTTTTTTAGTGAATCGTGTTGGATGGCAACCGACAAAATGGAGCAAGTTGTGTTCTGACCACTTCGCGTGTGATGCATACGACGTTGATCCTGCTATCATGAAGTCTGTTGGGTATAAATGGCAATTTTTTGGGCGATTTTTTCAATCTGACTTCATATTGACAATTGTTAAAGGAATGGTATGCTCATGACACTCATTTTTAAATAATTATCATCCGATAAAACAGACCAGTCTCTGCCAGTCTCTCTTTTTTTTTTTTTTTATCCGATGACATTATCAGTGATTTTAAACTGATTAATTAGCGAAATAACATCAACACTGCGGGCGGCGCCATTTTACCGGACGTGACGTAAACCATGCGTTTGGTTTCGAGGACACGTTGATGTTCATGTTATTTACTGTAGTTACTCTCTTCAAATATGCCTCATTGTATCGCGAAACATTGCCACAATTCTGATAGGAACAATCCACGGAATGCTCGGTTCTATCTGTTGCCAAAAGGTAAGCGTAGGAAGTACGTTCGGAGGCAGTGGCTAGCGAAATGTGGCCGGCCCGAACCGAAAGATCCACAGGCGCATGTATGCAGCGAACATTTCAAGTTTCCGGACGACTACTATGAGTATGATAAAACATAACATGGGATTTATTGAACAACCATTACTTAATGGAGATGCAGTACCATCGGTCTTTCTGGTGTCATCACCGACCAGGACACCAGTTCGGCCAGTTGAGAAATCGCCCTCTGCAAGTGTGAAGCGACGGAGGACCAGAAGTAGTGCTCGGAGTAAGAATAAGGTATGTTATAGCGCATTTCCATTGCAGCGGGTAGCCCCGTTTAAACGTCCTTTATCGTCCAGGCCAGACCAGTTTTTGGTGGCCTTTCCATATAGCGTAGTACCGGCTAGTGGGTATTTCCCCCCAGTTTTTCCGGCCCCATAAAATCGTGGTTCTAGGGCCAGGGACAACGAGGCTGAGTATGCTAAACTAGAGAGGAAATCGCTAGCAAGGGTGGTACTACATGCATACATATCTAGTAATCAAAATCATTGTATCTACTAAGTAGTACTAAGTAGGCTCGAACCTGTATGGCTGAATTCCCCCTTCCAATCTCTTCATATTGCTCAAAACTTCGCCAAGTTTTCGTGTGTTTACAAAGTGAACGCATGGATGACGTCACGACCATCACGTGACTACTGAAAATGGGCAAAATGGCAGCGGCCTGACGGAATATACAGGTTTTGATAAAAAAGAGTTATAAAATCATTATTTACCGGGGAAAATCGCTGATTTCTTCAGGGTATGGTTTAAACATAATGTTTCACTAAATACTGAAGTTTTGATTAATTATCTAATGAGTGGAGCATTCCTTTAACAACATAGGGTGCTACATAACACACTTTCAGGAAAAGTCACGGACTGGGAGACTTTAATATGTTATTGAAAACAAGTTACATACAATCAAAAAACAGCCGCGGGTAAAATGTACCCGTTGGCGGTTCTAGTGTTAAGTGCTTTACGATCTTGACAGTTTACGACAACTTATATCCTAATAAGAATAATAACAGAGAATACAAAAAATAATATACAAAGGGATTATAAGAATAAACATCTAGTAACAGTATGCAAATAAAAAAATAAAATAGCATGAGTTAAAATTCTGATCAGGTGAATGTATATACAGATATGTGAACAAGGTTACATATATATACACATTTAAATGTGGAGGTACCAGTGCGGGTTAATAAATGCTTCAATCTAAATAAACATAGTACATATTGTAAACAAACATGAAGAAATTGTGGTTTAAATGTATGCCAGTGTGTTCTTTTGGTGCTACAGTGACGATACTAAAGATGGCTGCATACGTCAAAGCTGTGGCTCGTAACACAGGCTGGTGATATTGCTCATGTTGGCCCGCTAGCCATCACTAGGCCCTCCAACATCTACGCCACAACATAAACAAACGGTATGAGTATTGATCATAATTACAGTAAACACACGTATTTAAGGTAAGCTCTGTATATAAATGGGAATGCTATTGTGATTAAATTACCGAGCAAAAGACAGCTAAAACAAACGTTAAGGATCGTTACCTTGGTGACGCTATCGAAGCTAACGTGGCTAATACTTACGTTAGGAAACCGGTCTATCTGCGTTAGCATCCATTCACAAACAGACAATCGTACTGAATTTAAATGCCACTTTGATCAGGTAGATATTGCCTCTATAAAACGTACCTTACTTGTTATTTGAGCTTAGTATCGATATTTCCGAGATTTACCGTTAAGGTTGGCTTCACGAACTGATTGTTCAGTCGCTGCAGTCGAGACGAATCTTCCGTTTTCTTCTTCTTTGGATCTGCAAACCTGACGCTGTGTGAGATGTGCTGCCCCCCAGCGGTTAAAATAAGACACACTTTATTGATCCCAAATTGAGAAAAACAAGGCATTGCACATAATTTGAAAACAAATAAAAATAGAAAATGTTCAAAGATGACATATAAGCATTTCAAAATAGGAAAATAAAACAGAACTAAAAAGTAAAATATATACAAGTTGAATGTGAAAGATACACAAATCTGTAGACCAGGGGTGCCCAATACGTCGATCGCGATCGCGATTGCAAAGGTAGTGTGGGTAGATCGCATGGCATTGAAAAAAAAAAATGTTTTTAATTTTTGTTTAAAGTTAGCCTATCATCCATCCTTACTATGGCCTTTGCCACTTGATTGACGTACATGTACGCCAGACTGAGTTGTTTATCCGCCGATTAGTCCACTAGCACCCCTGTCTGACAAATAAAAACTAAGAAGGGCCAAATTGCAGTTAACACATTTTAAAAGTATAACAATTTTTGTATTGGATGCAACCACTTTTATAATTGATTTGTGTACAGTCTATGTTTGGTACATGGCTAGGCCTTGATAAAAATAGCACAGCAAGTTCATGGTCATTTTTCATCAAAACAAGTTTATCCCAACACGAGCCTGAAAAATACGTCTATATGCCAAGTATTCCAGTTTTGAATAAACACACCTCTTTGGAAAAATCTTCACAATATCGTGAAAAAACATGTACAATTCAGTTTTTTTATTATTTTGGTCCCGAGAGCCATACAAAGATAAAAGTTTTGCTATGGCTTTAATTTGGTGGACCCTGAACCTTAACCGTACATATTTCACATGCATGATCAATTGGTTGTCTTCTTTGAAATTGAATACAGAACATTTTTGATTAATTGACATTAAATACAGAAGATGTTGGTTTGCTATAAAAGTTTGGATGCAAGGGAAATGGTTGGTGTGCTGACCTGTGTGGTCAAATAGTAAAATTGTCAGTAAGGGTAGTTTTAGAAATAATGACACAGTTTCATCAATATCAGTATTGCTCATTTTATTAATTCACAAGCAGTGTAGCAAACCGTTAGCTCAGCTAAATGTTGCTAAATACACACATAAATTAAAAAAATACACATGCATACATTGCAAAAATACAAAGTGGCACAGTACATGGACTCCGCTATAAACTCAGAAATGTACTTATTACAATTGACAACACAACAATGAGCTAAAACATCACTCCACATACAACAACCTACATTTAGTTTTTTCTGTGTGTGAAAGAGGACAGAACACAAGTATCAATACGGCAGCTTAAAACTCAACAGAAAGGCAAAGGGAAACACCAAAACATTTCAAAGAAATCAGTAAGTAATTATTATCATGTCGATTCTGTTGAAACATAACGTACATTACTGCAACAAATATTAAGGCACTTAACTTAAAATATGCTTTTTTGCTAATTAAAATTGTAAGTTGACTGAAATTTTACAGCAAAAAAGGTAAACCAGCAGATATCAGGGTGTTAAGTTGAAAACACATTAATCATAGTATGGGATGGTTACATAACTTCATAGGGTAGTCATCAGTGTCTCATGTGTTTTTTGTACCTTTTTAAAAATAATTAAATGTCTTTAACTCCTAAAATATCCTACTGAAAAGCATAGTATTTTAATAAAATCAATGCATTTTGTCCAAATATTTTTAAACAAATCATTCAACTTATAATTTCAAGTTACAAGAAATGAACTCCGGATTGTAAGTTCTGAAACTGATAACCAGCAAGTGACAAATACAACTATATACAAGAGCTGTGGAATAAAGATGAGCAGATTCCACTAAATTACATTTTGTTTTAACAGTTTTCACGGGAAAGGAAACAACATAAGAGCTACTTTGCAACTAGCTTTATTAAAGGGACTGCATGGTACACAAAAAACAAAGGAGAGGAGCGAACACTATTCAATAGACCAATCAATACAGAAGGCAACATGATTAAATGCATGATGTGATGAAATAACTCTGCAAACTAAGGGGTAGTCAAACCACATAGACCTGGTATAATAATGCCAAATGTATTGGCTGTACTTCACATGTGCTTGTTGGTCCTCCTCTCATATTTGTTTGGCGCCTAGTCTTCCTTTTTCTCTGGCAACACTTGGGTAACATCACCATTGCACGGTGCCTGTGGCTGCTCTTCCTGTCTGCCTGCACTGGGCAGGGAGACTGCGGTGATGGTGGCAGTCTGTGTCTCAGGAGCCTTTTCGCTGAGAGCTGCCTTGAGGCTGGCAGCAAAGAGATTGCTGCCCCCAGCTGCAGGAGCAGGAGCCCCGCTGGGCTCAGCTGCAGCTCCTTCAACAAGACCGGAGGCCCCAGGATCGCCCGGCTCAGACGCTCGAAGCCTCTTCATCAGGGTGGTCACTCTTACAGCTTTCTGTGAGTAATTAAAACAAATAGTGGGTTTCATTAATGTGGTATCATACAACACACTTTACTTTACTTGATTCTAATGGATGTTTTTGGGAAGGCCTCTGGCTGAGATAAATTATATTTTGAAAAGTATATTTGTTTCTATATATATGATGGTAGAGTCACTTGGTATCTCTCTCTCTTTCTCTCCGTCTCTTTTTCTATGATTACAACACATACTGCTGTCAGTCTGCCTCAGGGATAAATCATTAAAATCAAGTAAAATGTTCACACATGTTAAACTGCAGTTAAGTAGAATGACTTGTTGCAGCGCCGGATTATCATAGATTTTAATAGAAGTTAAATGGGTTACAGTATGTATATGTAATCAGTTTAAAAAAGTGGTAATGAAAGAAAAGTAGCAAACCAAGAGAATTTCCAAAGAACAGTAGGCTACAGTCCTACTTGCAGACTTGGGTCATGATAGTATCTATCAGTATTAAATAAATATTATGTCCAACACCTGTAATAATTAATGTTAAATAACCAACAATATATTGATAAATGAGATAGTTATACCTTCCATTTGGCTTTGGCGAAGTTCTTTTCTATTTGTGCACACACACCATCCTTGATGTTCTTGTCTGAGGCAGCATTTCCAGAAATCCTGACAAGAAAGAAACATTTTTTCATTATGATATTATATTTATTATATTTGTGTTACCTGCATAAAAAAAAGTGAATACATTGAAATGTGTCTAAATATTTGATTTAATTTTTTTTTTTTTTACCATTCATGTGCAATAGCTTCCTGTGCTGTCAATCGCTGGTCTTGGTCCACTTCCATCAGAGATGCCACTAAAGTTTTGGCTGAAAAAAAAAAAAAAGAAGCTGAAATTCAGTCTTTAAATACATCATCAATGACAGAAAAAAGCAGATTAATTTTCACTTTTGAATGACATTTTTAATAAACTGATTATCTCTTACCAGAGTCTGAAATGTCATCCCAGTATGGGGAATCAAATTCATAGTCGCCTGACAAAATCTTTAGGAAAAGATTCTTATCACGATCATCATCTTCATCGGCATCGTCATAGAAAGGTGGGTTTCCAGACAAACTGAGTTGGCAGAATGAGAGCATTACAGGTTTTTTGATAAAGTAAATTAAATGAACTTCACTATTTGATGAGTACTTACAGTATATACATGATGACACCGATGGCCCAACAGTCCACAGGTCGTCCATATTTCTGCCTTCCCACCACCTCAGGAGCTAACGGACAATAGGAACAAAGCTTGTTTTTACAGTAGGACTACAAACCTGTGAATTGAATTAAGCTAAAATGGTTTCATTTTTTATTGATCTTCTTTCTAGTTTTATGTTACTAACCAAGATATTCTGGAGTCCCACACGGGTCCTTGATGAATCCTTTTTCCAGTTTTGCCAACTGGAAGTCGCTGATAACAATTTTGGAGTGTTTCAAACGATTGAAGTACACCAAGTTCTCCAGCTGTATAAGTAAACAAATAAGTGTTTATCAAACTGGAACCCCCTTTTAAAGTGTTTTTCATACATATCATGTTTGGCCTGTGTTGAAATGCTTCAATGTTTCACTAGGTGTCAGCAGTGTGTACCTTCAGATTTCTGTGGACAATTTTCAGAGAGTGCAGGTAAGCTACAGCCTCCAACACCTGCCTCATAACATTGCTGGTGTCCCTCTCAGAGTAGTATCCTTGATCTAAGATCCAGTCGAATACCTCCCTGCCTGTAGCGCTAAAAGATGGTAGATCCAAATTTTGTACATGGCACATGTTGAGTTATAACACATGTTGAATAAAAAAAAAAATCAGTTTCATACAAGTTGAGAAATCAGTCAGTCTGTGCCAACATTTCTCTCAAGTGCATCTAATAATACTCACAGCTCCAGAAAAAGGAAGTACTCTTTCTTCGTTTCAAAAGCATCAACCAGCTGGAGGATGTTATGATGTTTCACCCTTTGAAAAGCAGGAAAAAGGGGAAAGAGAGCAATAGCACAGGAGGGAGAATTAGGGTATGTAGGTGGGACTAAAATGAACAACAAAATGTAGTTGATGAGTAATATATACAGTAAGCTCACACTATGTAATCATTTTAAGCTGTATTGTGTACAACATTCAGTACTGCAAAGTGGATTTGGAGTGCTTTGTGAGTACTGCAGCAGGACAGTGTAAGTGGGGTTGACTCAAAATAAACTGCAGTGCTCATGTTCATGTAAATAAAAGGAACATGTCATCCAGTCTAAGCTGTTGATTGTTTTTGGAAATTATCAAAGTTTTATGGCACAGAGGAATACAGTAAATCTAGATTTTGTTAAACATTCAATAGTTGTCAGTGGGATTCATCCATTATTGGTTTTGGTTCCTTGATATGATTTGTTGTAGTATGAATGTCTATAAATATCACAACCCTTACTTTTGAATAACTCTAAGAATGCAGATTGGTTTTGAGCTCCTGCACCGCACTTAGATTTGTCTTTGGCTTGACCTCAAGAAATATTTTTGCTGATCATTACTTTTTTCATCTCAGTTTCAGGAGAGTTTCTCAGAAATCTATTATAAGGAGCTTCAAACTTACATCTTTAAGATCATTATCTCATTCTTGGCCGCTTTCCTCACTTTCCTTCCGTCCTTTTTGTGGAACTTTTTACAGGTGGACATTTTCAAGGTGTTCCTATCCTTCGCTCGGAATATCTCACAAAACTCCTCCCTGTTGAAAAGAGGAAAGAAGAAACATACATCATATTTTGCGCAGATTTCTTGAAGTTCTTACTTATCAGCATAACAACGTAGCTGTACTCACGATTTAACAATTTGTCCGAGGTCATATTTGTCGGCCACATCTGAGGGATTGTTGTAATCCTTCTTCTGCCCGAGTGTCAGACAACCAAATGGCATGGCAGCTCGTGCCCTATAGCCAGGGAATGACCTGCCACAAGACAACCTGTGGAGTATTTGCAACATGTTAGATTAACCTGAGTAATACAGCATTATTTCAAAAAACGTGAATTTCCACAGTACAAAGTGTATCACACGGATGAGCAACTGAATAACCGAGCCGAGAGAGATGAGTGCTCATTACTGAATACCATAAACACATTTGACTGTATATTCAATATTGTAAATGCAGCAGAAAATGCTTTACAGAGAAATAAACAATTTTGTTAATGGCAATAATAGAAATGAAGAACACTGTTGCTCAGTTGTGGCCCTTAACATAAAATGAATGCAGTAAATCATTGAGTCATTTAGAGGGAGATGTTGGGGTGAATTATTATTTTTTTCTCTGAAACCTATTCAAAATTAGCAAATTAATTCAGATTACCATAATAGCACAACAACATTAAATTACATTTTCAAATAACATAATCTTCCTCAGTGAACTCTGCCAGACCAGCTTGTTTTATCCACTCTGCAGTGAGTCAGCTCTGTACTGCAGCGGCAGCATCTGTAGCATTATTCATCTGTTTGCTTTCTACTGAAGAGAATATTCAGATGGACCTGACCCTGTGCTGTTTCTGTGACTTTTGTCTACCTTTTTTATATTTCCAAAGTCGGGAAAGCTATTAACTCCATCTCTGGATGAACAATTGTGGACGAGATTTGTGTTTTAATTTCTGATAGCAAGCCAGTGAAAGATGAAGTTATAACTACTCTGAGTTATATTGACTTATCTACAGATTGGGTCACAATGTTCACATTTGTTGGGGTACGTTGTAACAAACAACTGATGGAAAACATTTTGTTTAATAAAGTCGGTATAACAACTAAATGAATTATAAACAACCATTTACACAATTGCTTAGTCATTGTCATTGGTACTAGGAATCGGTAAAGTATCAAACAAAATAAACCAGTGCAAGAACTACCAAAACTTTTCTGGATCCACACAACTGCAGTTAACTATACTTAACAGCAGAATAAACTAATAAATACACTCTCACTTGTTCCACTAACGACCAAGGTCACATAGCTGACTGTGTATCTGAACATAAGGAAGAATGAAGAACTGAAAGTGAATTATTGCATTCATTCCACATAGCATTTCTAACTGTAGACAACAACAAGCTATTACATTCACCCACATGTGTAAGGTATTGCAGCCTCAATAAATAGATAAACAGATACATAACTTAATAAGGAACACAAGCCTGTTGCTTTTTAATTCACTATAAGCACGGCAGGACTACCATGGACATAGGGTGATGAAACTCTTGCCTATTGCTAAACCAAATTTATCTGATTGCTTTTTAGGCCACATCAAAAATTCAATTAATAAGTTACTTTCTGACGTGTGTTCGTTTTTTAACGATACTTGTTATTTTCTGGCAATTAAATGCAGCAGGAAAGTTTACAACTTAAACACTAACACAATATACTACAACTTTAAATGAGGGTGACTTGAATAGCTGCAGCTGCACAGCAGAATACTAAACAAGTCCACCACTACCAGCTAAATATTACTGGCGAAATATGATGCTGAAGAGAAAAGAGACCCAGCTTTTTTGGCAAGACTTACAACAGAAATGGCAGACAGCACAGGAGAGTGGGAGTAAAGAAACTCTGACTGAGGTGCTGTCTGGAGCCTCAGTCAAGACCCTATCAGAGGCAGAGATTTATTCATGTCTTAGCATCCAGTAGTATCTTTAGTGCAATAAAAAGTGGTTTTATGAATATATAAAAACTGAATTTGAAGATGACAAATGTTTAAAAGATGATTTATTTATGCACTTTATTATTCGCAAACAACATTGCAGGAGGTGTCAGGGAGAAGATCTCATGTTTTGTGAATCAAGAGAGAGCCTTTAAGTTGAAGACAGTAGGCAGTAGAAGTAGGTAGTTGAAGACTGTGCAGTGTGCTACTGTCCACAAGGGGACTCATTACTCCTCAGATATCTGCTGTGAGGCTCATATAAAAAGTGTTACCTTATGTAAACTGCTTGGTTATTAAAAGAGAGTCCATTTCCATTGATGTTCCTCATTTTACCTTCTTTATTGATCCTGATTTAATGGAGCTAATCTCTCTTTGATCCATATACTGCAGGGCAAAACCATTATTCATGGAGTTTCTGATTCATTTGGATACAGTCCTATTGATTAACAGGGTATTGAAGTAGCTGTGATGCAGTTCTCTTTATTCCCCCCATACAGACAGATAACATTATCTACACAAATCACTGGAATATCAAGTCGCATCTATAAAACCTTATGTTTATGGGACTGAGAGAAATTATCTAACTATCACAACATTACCCTTCCTAATTTTGAAAAACATAAATTGTATAAAGTGTGTAATGATTTGCACAACCTCTATTTTATGCAACTTTAGCTGTGATCTCAAGGACAGGCATTTCATGCATTGACAAAAACACTGAGTAAAAACATCTTCTGCCGGAACGAGAAGTATACAGTACATTTAGATTCTATAGAATCTATCACTTGCCCCTAATGATACTAACATTTGCACTTAATCATGTTGGGGTGTCTGCCAGAGAAAAGGTTTTAAAAAGTGATAAACAAATTCATTTTAGCTAAAAGTTCCCTGCTGCATACAGTCCTTGCAGAAATCCAAAAGTGCTTCTCTATTCGTGCCATTTTGTTACAGCTACTGTTTAACACAAAAGTACTATTGATTTATATTTTTGATATGAGGGCACAGTAACACACATTTATTAAAAAAAATCCATAAGGTGTTGTATTTAACTTTGGTCCTGTAATCCAAAATATAACAGAACAGAAAGTAATAACCAAGATTTGCCCAGGGGGAGGTTTACTTTTTGGTTGTTTTGCAGATGGTGAGCTCAAGCCTCTCCCTCTGATGTCTGTCAGTCATAAGACTCTCTTCTATGTTCAAAATGCTTCTTCTCTTTCTCCTTGATTTTAAACATGAGCTGGAGCCAACAATGTCTTGTTCATTGTATGATTTATTGAAATGAGGATTTATTAATTATATTTTATGTCATTTTAAGCACAATCTACCAGTGTTTATAAGACCTATTTTTTGTGAAAGTTCGATCCCATGCCACTCACACTAAATACCTTGGTTCATTCAAACATTTGTTATATTAAACAAAGAAACATGTATAAAAAACATTATCCTCTAAGAGAAGAGATGATTTATGACAGATTTAGCTATTATGTTCATCTTCCATCTTGTTTAAGTGCATTTGGAGGTCAACTTGAAAAGACAAAAATATCAACTCTTTTCTAATCAGACAGTATCTTAATTGTTTAAGTTCATATCAGACAATCTTTGTAACTCAGGGCAGTATCTTTTTCTGAAGTACGCAGGAGAAGCACAATTCCCAGATTGAGTAAAGAGACGTAGCTACTTAAACAGAGAGCAAATCAGTTTGGCTCTGTAGCCCAAACCATGATGTATTTCAGAGAATAAGTCAATTGCTTGATGGAAATGGCATACAATAGCATGTCCAAAAGAGGTCACATAACCAAAATGTCATCTTGAACGGGCAAATAATTGCAAAAATAATCACATGAATAAATAACTATGTTGCAAAGGAGATCGAGAGTCGCAATGCCCTGAGACAATTAGATTGAATTGCTATACCTCCCAATGAATCATATCCTCTCATCTTGTTCTCAAAAGCTTGACTCAAAGCGTCACAGTGCACCAAATACTAAAGACTGAGTATGATAATGTAGACTGTATTTTGTGTGCACTTGACCACCCCCCAACTCGAAATCATCTTGGAGATAAAAGGCTGTTCTCCTTCACGGGAGAAGATAAAGATACAAGGCACTTGATTATTGCTGAATCAGGGCTCTTTCATCCTTGCCTTTTGAAAGATCTGAACGAAGGGCTCTTCATTAGTGGGAATGTAAACGCTGCGTCAGATTCAGACTGATGCAGAGCTCGACACTGAGAGAACTTAAATGTAGACACCCTTGGGGGACGATGACAAAGGCAGAGCTGTTTGCATTTAATAAACATTAAATCAGTGTCTCATTTATTTTACAGTCGCATAAAGGTTAGTAAAGGTAAAACCTATTAGACAGACTTATTTCAGGTCATAAAGGCTAACATATATATATACTAAAAGAGTATTTCTGTTTTATTCAAATGTGAAGTAAAAATTAAAGATATTTTAATTAATTTAATTAATAATAATTTAGAAAAAACAAGGATGATGGATTCACTCTATGTTCAAACAGTTCCAGTACAATACTGATGAGCCTGAGGGGGATTGTTATAACTCTAATATTTGTCACACTATCACCTCTCAGAAACTGTTGGTTGAGTTTTAACACATTAAGGACATGGCATCTGTTTTACACATTTGCTGGATTGTGAAAAAACTAGGATATATTAAGACATTTTGGACAATGATCATGCAGTTCAAAATAACAGCAATGAGATTGAAGACTCCAATTAAAATCTCCTACATCCTCATTGCGTTGGAAAAAACACAAGACAAGGGTCTTTCAAATGTACAACCTCACAGTTCTGGCTGTTGCAGATATATATAAGGCTTTGCCAAAAGGAAAACATTATAACTTAGGTTTAAAACACATCAGACACTTATTCTCAAGCTTTTCTGAAGGATACATTTTGGCTTCCTGTCCTGGCATTCAATAACATACCAATTGGCCAAACAGAGGTGCTAGATTTACATTTCACATATTACAAGTCTTAATTTAGAGCTGGGTGACATGCATCTACTGCCACATTTGAATACATGTGTTTGATGATTAGATTCATGTTCAACCTACTGAAGTGCACAGTCTGGAAAATATCATATCATTCCTAATTTCCAAATTCCCATAAATACTGTTTTAAAGTCAGACTCACATTGACACTGTAATCCAGCTGGAGTGCTTGCTAGCATTTTAACACTATAACTGATGCCTGCCGAGTCGTGCTTAGGATCTGAGATGATGATTTTCCCTAAAGTGTCTGCTGATCTCTGCAGATATCATTTAATGTTGCCCTCTTGCAGTGTTATAGGTTTTAACACACTTTACACAAGTATCCAAGGTGAAGCATACAACCGTGTGTAGGGGAATATTTATGAAGTTTCAACTAAAATGTCTCTAGCTCCTTCTGAACACAGTGAGAAGTGAGACTACAAGCTTCTGTTGAATCACTGAATGATGATTTAGTCTAAACTGAACTCAGTGCAACTCATTGCAGAGCTCAGATGTTTTGGTCAAAGAGAAGTCACGCAGCGGCATGCAGAGAGCCGTGGGTTTGGCCACAGCCGAGCCTCTTTAAAAGCAGCGACCTTGTGACAGGAGGCTGATGGTGCTGGTGGAGATGTTTGAGCCACATTTAATAGGCCTGTTCTTCCTCATTTATGGCCTAAATGTTGCTCTTACTCACTGTGAACACAAAGAAGCTACTTCTTATTTCCAAGGACATTACGTCAGACTTGAACAGAAGCAAGGTATTGTGTTTGTTTTTCTCGAAGTCCAAGGCGAGACTAAAGATTTTGATGCGTATGAACCATTCATCTCTTCTTCGGGCATCACTGGCCCATCTGACCAGTTTCTTCAGATGTTGTTTTGTTGCCATGGTCACCGAGTGCTACAGTATGCACTGTGGTTATGTCTGTGCAGAACATCTCTCTGCATACTCATCGACATTACTGCGAATCACTGCCGAAACTCCATTGACCTGAGCTCAAACACAGTTTATAAAAGAAAACCCAGAATCATAACCAAATAATAACAAAAAAATACCATGTCACCCTCAAAACCACTCTGACATTTAATTAAGTTAAATTAACTGAATGCAAAATGACACACACCACAACCAAAGAAACACATTCACTGCAGTAAAAACGTATACATAAAAAAAGGCTCGCACTCTATGACCAAAAAATGTGACGACTGTGAAAAAGTTTGTGGCAGAATTTCTAAAATGAAAAGCATGCAGAAGCTTACTGATCCTAAAGTATTGTTTAATATACTAGCTATACGTAAAAAGGCCACGTATGCTTCCAAAAGCATTATCTTGTGTCAAGAAAAACTCTTGTTTTCAGCTTTCAGTGCCAAGAGCAGAAGGTATCCAACACAATATCCCTTCTCATGACACTTCACTGTCACCTGCGTCAAACCAACAGGCGGTGCATCAGGGTTCTCCAAACTTTTTGCACAGTTTACATGAAGTCTATACAAGCCTTATGATGCAATGTGATTGATACAGATGTTTCCAACACTGAAGCCATTGCAAGGAGGAGGACAGTAGAGGACAGGCAGCTTCACTGTCCTGACCTGTCACAGCACCACTTATTTTAGGGTGTCTGAAGTGGCGACTTTCAGACAGTGGCATTGGCAAAGTAAGTTGGCTTTGCAATCACAAGCTCCTTTGGTGTAAATCATACTGTATGAAATAGGTGTGAACTGATGACAAATAATGACAAGGAGGCAGGGACAACGCGAGACTGTGAAATGTGAAGAGATGCTGCAGTCTGAGAACATGAGCAGCATGCCCTATGTAAATCTGAAGCACAGTTTGAGCAAGTCTTTATGAACTAAAGCACATATTATGAATGGACTTGTTAAGCGTATCGTAATGAGCAGAAGTATGCGTTAACGGTAACAGCAATTTCAGTGTGGAAATGACAACCTTACAGCTCAAGCAGCTTAACAGTTTGAATAAACAGTATTTGTGCATCATCCATGTATGAGTGATGTTGGAGAAAACTCTGCTGCAGGTTTATTAAACCTCACGCGCACGTGATATTTCAACCAAAATGTAAACATATCCGCAAAAGTTTTCGAAACAAATACTGCGTCCATTATTACGCGAGGACGCGAGGTCGCCAGGACGACTTTACTAAATTAAAATGTTTAAATGTTAAACCTTCCGCGACATTCTCCACTTCTCGCGCTTAGCACATCTGTGCTTTGCAATCTATTGACGGTAAATCAAACATTATGCAAATTGCGTTTCACTTACCTTCAGTTAGGTAAACTGGTAGGATAATGCAATCCAATCCACTGTTTAATATTTTAATATTTTCCCTGTTGCAGCTTCACTTTTTCTTCCACTGATTTTACAGCCAGCCTGGTTGCAGACAGATTTAGGATCCTCTAGCATTTCCAACAAGTCAGCTTGTTCACGGGAGTATTACGTGAACGTGTGATGGTAGCAGCAGACTATGATGCAGGAAGGAGGGGTGTGTGGTTTTGTCCGCGCGCGTCTGTGTCTCTGTGTGTGTCTGTGTGTATGTGTGCATTAGTGCAGCAAATGTTTGATAACAGTTTCATTATTTTCAATGCTTTGAACGATAACATAGCAGGATACATTTGTTCTCAAAATCCATCCGGAAGTTGGTGCCAGAACGAGGCCATCTGATCCCAGAATAAGAACGGGTTCCATCTCTTAAAAAACATTCTCCTTGCACACTTGCAGTCTCCACCTCTGATGGTCTAGTAAATAACACATACAACTGTGGTCATGGGTTTGTTTGTTTACCTGTTTTGGATATCAGTTACTGATTCCCTTTCATATTACAGACATGTTTTTATGTTTTAGTTTTTAATGTAGTGCAACCTGTGGAAAAAACTAAGCAATGTTTTGTCTCTTTTTGCAGTGTTTGGGTCAATATCCTGGAGTGAGAAAGAATTAAGGGAGAAACAAAGTTAAAACTGTAATTATCAATGAACTCCTGGAGCCGACCTGAACTCCTAACATGTTGGTCTTGAAATAAACGCTTTTTTGAAGTGAGTAATATGGATTTTATGCTGTTAACGTGTGTTTACAATCTCCAAAGTTACCTGCCCACCACTAAATTATATCATATAATATTAACATACTCTTATGTGAGGATGTTGCATCTGAGCACTTTCGAGAGAGAAAACTGAACTGCATTGGTAGCACTTTGCAAAAATGTACAGGTATGGAGAGGATTTGCAAGGATTTTAGATGGTAGGCAGACTCTCTAGCATCAGTTTATGTAACATGAGTGTGTCTCTCCTAAAATGAGTAATGCCGCTAAAAGGCCATTGGGATAACAGGAAAGAGAGTGGTGGAGCATCTTTAACCTGCTCCCCACCTACCAACAAAACCACCTACTCTCTGTTTTCTGACTCCCGGTATTACATGGCTTTTCAGGACTCTGGTTGTTTTAGCAATACAGATTGTGTTGTATCACACATCTGAATCCTTACAATCCCTTACATCACTGTCATTATTTTAGAGGAGTATGTTTATAAACCACCCTTTCAATCATGCGCTGTAGGAGGGAGTCAGTCACAGCTGTCTTAGATTAAGTCTGAACATGTCTTTTAGATATCAGCCTGAAATGGGATTACTTGAGTTAAAAGACATATTTTAAATTGAAGGGTAAAAGTATAGTGACACAATTGCAAAAGTAGAATTACAGTGTTTATTCACCAAAAACAGTAACACAAATAGTTCTCAGGTACACCCTGATGGATGTTCTTCAGATAAAAGGTGAGGCATCTTGATCTTGAGAGCTACATGCACAAATATGTTAACACAAGCCAAAAAATGACAGCAGTCATTCAACAGTCTCTGCATTGTTGTGGGACTCTTAAAATGTTCAAAATCTGCCTGAACTCCACACTCACGTGTTTATGTTCTCATATCTGTATGTCCATGCGCCTGATACTGAATTGACATTCACATCTACAATTTTGACGTGTTGTCACCATAGTAACAGCCTCTTCAGGGACACAGATAATGCAGTGTTTCAAGCCATTTGAGAGAAGATGCAATACAAAGTCATTTTACACAAAACAATCTCACAGAGAAGATCCCTAAACCAACACTGAGGATCATTTTCTCTGAGGCTATTTGTAATACCACCGTTATTGTTTATTTAAAATAAAAAATGCTATAGGATTGTATGCCTTTAGATTACACATTACCTTTATTATAACTTTTGTGGATCTTCTATTGCAATTTAATTACAACGTTTTTTATTACTTAATCTGTTTTATCTTTTTACATTGTCACAGTCACTTGAATTGTCAGTCATTTGAAACTAGACTTATTGTTTGACCAGTCAGCTGTGTGGCACATGATAAACTGTAGCTGTTTAGGTGGTTCAATAGGCAGGATCCATATACTGCACAGTATTCAGTTATTAGTCATTGCTTGAGTTATTTTTTTTACCATATTTATTTCAATGGACATAAAAATATTTTTTAAAAAAGAAAATATTTTCTCTGCGCCTCGTAACAATAACAGTGCCTCCCATACCCCGTGCAGTATATTCCTCTAATATGATTGGTATCAGTTGTGATTATCCACAAGAAAAGCTTTTCAGCCTGTCATACAGTTGAAGCAGACGCAAAAGTGGAATCTGCGTCACAAAGCTCGCAGGCAGTACCTCACTGTGCTTCTCAGAAACTACTCAATGCTCTGCTCATTCTTATGTTACCATGGCTGCATCTAGTTAATCCAGCATTTGTAAGTCTATGAATGGGAGAATATGTGCTATGTTATCAGATTACTTTGATGTTTTTACAGGTTGAGGGGGAAATGACAAAAAGAACGTTGTACCTTAGAAGCTCTAATTTTGATGATACATTTCCTCGTTAATTCTCTCTAAGAAGGCAGATGCTTTTAAGTGTACTGTTAAATGTAAGTGAGGCAATGTATATGTATAGGAATATTGTCGAAATGGTTGAGTTGATCTTGAAAGAAAAAAAAGTAATTACCAAAGTCCCACAATGTCATTCGATCTGCAGGCTCAAAATAGGATTTTCTCAAATATTTTGTTTAAATCATATTCTGATCAAAATGTGTTTTTTTCCACAGTCCTATACTCAAGCTTGTGAAAGATGAGTCAACTTATAGTTCAACTAAGTTGTCATAGAAACCAAAACCAATAGTCATGGGGTTTGTGATGGAAACCTTTGAAGGGATGAAGGCATGCTTCTCACATGCATCAGCGGAGACCTTGACAGCACTTTCTGAGGACATTCAAAAGGTTTCCTATAGACTTGCTATCAATGCCAAAGATTATAGCCCAAAGCGTGAATGAATACAAATAATAATGGCTGAATCAGAAAATACATATCAAAATATTAACAACATCTTTGGGAATTAATTGTGGATATATAGAAAGGTTTATAATACACCTTCTGCGATTCTTTGCATTTACTGTCACAGAATTTAAGCTTTTCTTATATGCAAGTAAAATAAGTCGAGAAACTGAGTGTTATTTCAGAATACAAGCATTTATTTGTATCTTTGTGCAACCTGTGCTGCTTGCTTGAGTTGTTTGTCATGCATTTCAATCTCAGTTTACTGTATGTCAACTTTTAACAATACATTTTACCTAAGAAAAAGTCCCTGTTAAAACTGTTGATAGTGTGCTCTGTTGGTTATCTGACTAATAACACTGACACTGTGACCAGAAAGATAAACAATATTTAAAATGGTGTGAAGAACAAGAGATCAAAAATATGGCAGAATCTTTCGACAAAAAATAGTTACAATATTGAGGTAAGTGAAATAATCTTTTTTTGTTTTCTCTTGGGTGGATTCGGGAGTAAACCAATTCGATAGTAGGAGAAGTCTTGGATTTTGACTGTGTTTGCGTCCGTACAGGGAGGGAGGCACAGTGACACAGATGATACCCTCACACTTCAAGCAGAACATTTGGTACTCTTTGAGGTTACCATAGCTACCACAACACAGCGAGACCGGATGTCCATAATGGTGATCAGCTTGTCACTGGTGGTGCATCTGTGGTTTCTATGTCAAAGCAAGCAGTCCACAACAATCCATTTCAGAGTGAAGAGGAATGAGGTAATTTGTAAAATATCGTATGTCACGCTGGTCTCCAAACTTTAATTTAAAGTCACATCGAAAAGAAAACATTTAAATTGAAACTTACTATGGCACATTGTTGTATTGCTTCATGCTCTTGGGACAAAGCAGCATCAGTAAATAAATAAACATCCTTTAAAGGTTTATATCCTTGTAATTACTGTGTTCTCTCTGCTTACGTGGAAAGGCAATTTATCGCTGATTTGTCTTGTGCTAATTCAAAGTTTATGAGGGCTGCCTTTGGGTCTGCACCGCCACTTAACCAATTTTATAAACAGTGGGTTTCTCCTTCCTAATTGCTGCAGGATAGCTGATGCAGAACTATTACGCTTCATACACTGTTTCATATCCGCAGTTATTCATTTAAAACAGCTTTAGCAGGTTGGATATACTCGACAATGACGATGGATTATTTTTCTCTAAAACATGATGACTTGAAGTACCATTTTATTATAAAACAGGAAGGAACATGTAGTTTGTTTTCATACAGGAAGCAGATATGTGTTGTTAATCATATTGATGAAATAAGTAAGACCTAAACACTATATATATACTGCAAATTTCTAAAGCGAAAACAAATCTTTAATTAATAAATAATCAACATTTTGTATGTCCCTCAAAGGTTTTTCTAAATACTTACTTAAAATAACATTACTTGTTTCTTGCAGGGACTGGGCTGGTACTGATCATAGAGATGTGGGTCACTTCTTTCTATCCATAAGGAGGATAAGCAAAAATATACAATTCAGTGTGTTAGTGAAAGGATATACTCACAGTAAAGTATTCACTTTGAGGCATATACAGTATAATCATCCTTGAATTAATGATGGGAATATGACCCAGTGTTACTCAATACATGAATGAATGTGGAGAGTGTGTATCGCTCTAACAAAATCATTTTGTTCATTACCCTGACACAAACACACATACGTGAAAATTATGAATAGATTATAAAACATGCATAAAGCAGTTTGCTAATTTTTCACCATATCTCTATGCCTTCCTACACACCACCGGCATCACATGGGGGTTGTCATAGCAACAGGCACACAAGCCACAACAGGGCTTTTGGAAAACAAATACAGATCAGCATAACAGAAAATCTCCCTTATCCACCTTTTCTACAAACCTGTCTGAATGCCACCAAAGAAAGCTATACAAGATTGATCTTCCCTTGTTTACAAGACAAAACCAAAACGCACAACAGCACAGGCGACTTAATGACTTTTCTCATGGAATAACATACACTAATAGTATAGTTTTATGTGGCGTTTAAAATGGATTGTATGCCATTAAGGCTGGCTCCCATTTGAGCCTAATCTGGAGATCTGGGATACGTTTGAGCATCTTACAAAAGACCCATAAAGTTCATTTTTATTAGGAGTTGGTGATATCGTTATTGACCTTAAGGGAATGTATGTTGCTAGAGG